GAGGCCTCTTCCAGCCTTTGTCCCGGCTGCACCACCTGCCTGGCATGTCCCCCTATCTGCAGGAGGTGGGAACCTGGGCATCTCAAGCCCTGCTTTCAGCCCTTCCAGACTCAGCTGATCAGGGGCTGCAGCGCCCTGTTTGCAGCTGGGGAAGCTGAGTCTGTTCTCCCTCCTGCTGGAACTGGCTCCATCTCACACCGTGTGTGGGGCTTTGGCAACTGCTTTCCTTTCTCTTGGCCTCAGCTTGCTGGTCTGTAAAGTGGGCACAAGAATCACATCCAGCTTCAATGGTCATTCCAGATGATTCCAGCTCTCATTCCTGGTGGCTGAGCCAAGGAGAGGGGGGAGGGCTTCCAGCACCCCAGACACCCCCCTCCCCATCTCGGAGTCTGCCCCTCTCCTCTGCCTCCCTGTCTGCATGGCGGGAGCACAGAATCACTGAACCTGGGCAGGGTCCTGGGGCTGTCCCGGCCAGGTCTTGTGGCTTGGAAGGGGGGCCTGGTTTGGGGAGGGGCGACCCAGGGTCGCCCTGGGCATGTTCCAGAGCTCACAGGGCTGTGCACCCGCAATTCCAGACCTGGTCTCCCTCACCACATGCATCTCTGTGGGAGCCTGTGGTGTGTCCCCCCCCCGCCACCCAGACCCCTCCCGGACTCCCTGTCCACTCTCTGTGCATCTCCCAGATCCCGGGCTGCTGGGGGGGCCCCCCCCAGAAGATGAGGAGAAGTGCGTGTGGGGAGTAGTTAAGCAAGGTGGCCTCAGGGTGCAGGGTCTGTGAATGCACACCCAGGGTCTCCATAGGGAGCGGTTGATAAGAAAACCTCCACAAGCCCCTACTAGGTGGCATCTTATTTGGTCCATTTCTCAGATGAGGAAACTGAGTCTCAGACCCTCACTCTTCACCCCACCAGTCAGTGAGGGAGCCCAGGTTAGGCTCAGGTGGTCAGGTCCCCTGCTGGGATGTCTTGGGGGGATCTGTAAGATGTGAGGGCCCCTTGCCGCTCAAGGTGAGGTTTTTACAGAGCTGCAGGGGTCCTTGCGCGGGTGCTTACAGAAGCTGCGCGGCCAGCCCTCTCAGTGGGACTTGGTTGGACCTCATGGCCTGGGTCCCTTCATGCTCAGACACCCCCGCCCCCCCCCCAGTCTGGGATGGTGGCTACAGAGTGGGGGCAGAGGCTGGGGGCAGGCAGTGCCTGCCTCACCCTGGGTGGAAGAGCTGGTTTGCCTTTTCCTGTCCTTTACCGTCCCCTCCAGACCCCCAGCCTGGCCGCCTGCATCTTGGTTACAGAAAGGGTCCCCTCCCTTGCCTCAGTTTCCCCATGCTGGTTTCCACCACCGGTCAGGGTTTTGGGCACGCGACTCACCAGTGAGGCAAGAAGGAGGACAATTGCCTCCATCTGATATTTATTATATATATATTTTTGTGATCCGTTACAAAAAATACTTTTCCTCCAGAGTTGCAATTTAAACAATATTTGAAGACAGCCAAAGCTATCGATCAGCTGCAGTGATGAATTAGAGATGGTAATTCGAATTCATCGACCACCCCGCCCCAGCCGAGAGTCCTCCCGCCCCTCCCCCAGCCCCTCTCCCAGAATTCCTGTTTGAGCTAGAGCCAGAGAGGCTTCCAGGAGGAGGCAGCTAGCAAGCCATCCCACTCCCAGGACCTTGGAATGGGGTGGGAAGCTGAATCCCCCAGTGGCGGTGGGGTTATGGGGCTGCAGGATGGGCCTTGCCCAGACTAGCAGGTCCCAGAATCTCAGAATGTTACACCCAGAACCTGGCTCCCGCCCCCCCCCCCATTTTACAGATGGGTAAACTGAGGCACGGAGGGCCGACAGGGACCGGGCAGTGGGGTGGACCTATTTCTCAGGCACTTCAGAGAAACAAAGACACCATCCCTTTCCCCCTGGGCCCCAGATGTGGGAAGGAGAGAGGTGGGGAGCTGGGGAGGTGGGTGGGGAGAGACCCAGGCTGAGGGCCCCACCCGGCTGCCCTCTGGGACTCTCGGCTCTTCTTTGCAGTGCTTCCCTTCTCTGCCTCTGTCTCTCTGCCGCTCTCTCTTTGTCTCTCTGTGTTTCAGCTTTGGTTTCTCTTTCTGTTCCTCCCTCTTTGTTTCTGTCTGTTTCTCCGTCTCAGGTTTTGTCTTTTCCTTTCTCCCTGTTGTTGTCACTCTGTCTCTCCCTGTCTCTGCCTCTCCGTGTCCATCTCTCTGCGTGGTCCTCCCGTCTCCTGGCCCCAGCGCCCGCGGTCACCCGGGTGGTCCCGCCGGGAGCAGCGAGCGGAGAGGCGGGAGGCAGGCGAGCGCGGGCGGGACCGGGGCGCGACGCCCGTCGAGGGGTGAGCAAGAGCGGGGCGGCGAGTCCTGCCGCGGGGGGAGCGGCGACCAGGGGTCCCTGGGGGCGCTCCAGGCGGCGCGTGCGGGGCGCAGCGTTTGGGAGGGGGACGCGCCCCGGTGCCTCCCCCTAACCGCCGCGATTTGCCGCCACTTAACCGCTTTTCATTTGCGCAGCGACCGGAACTAAAGGCCTCTGAGCCGGCGGGCGCCTAATTAGCCCTCGCGCTCGGCCGGCCGGCCACCTCTGACTCCCAGGCCGAGCCCCGTGGTGGAGACGTGGCCCGGAGCGCGCGCGAGCTGCGGGGGGCGCCCAGGGCCGGGCGCGCGGAGCAGGCGGGTCGGTGGGGTCACCGTGTGGGCAGCGGCCGTCAGGAGCAGAGGACGGGCGGCCGGTCCCGAGGCGTTATCCCCAGCACCCCAGCGCCCCGCCCGAGGCGCGACCCCTGCGCTCACCCCTCCTCGTCCCCCTGTGCTCCTGAGACCGCCGCCGTTCGGACGTTCATTTTCCGAAAGGGGAAATCGAGGCGCACGGAGGTGAGACAGCGCGCCAGAGCCACAGAGGCCCGGGAGGCCCTGCTGGGATGCAAAGGAGGTCTTAGTTTCCCCTCTTGCAGTTCTACTGGCAGCGGGAAGGGACGCCCCAAGTGCTCGAGCCGCAGGCCCCGCCCGGGGCTCCCGGGGCTCCCGGGACTCCTCGGCTTCGGTCTGTCGTTCCGCCCGCCCTGGCCGACCTTTGGCAGGGGGACCCTGAAATGTGAGGCTGAATACGTGAACGGGCTCCTCAGTCCCTTAAGGTGACCGTGAGAAAAATGGAAAGTGACATGTGTTCTTTCGGGTGAGCCCAAGTCGGACACCATGTCCCCTGAAATACGAGCGCTGGGGAGGAGGCGGAAGGTGGATGCTATGGTCCAACGGTCCACGTGCTACGCCACGTGTCGGTCGCCACTTCGTGTCTGACACCTTGGAGCGACGGCCGTGGCCAGAGCGTAGGGGGTGTGCTTTTCCGCGCTACCTGATGTCACCTATATTGCGCCGAGCAGGCTGTGGCTGCGTGTTGGTATGACCCAGGGGCCCCTGTGAGCACACCCGTGTCACTGCGCGTGGGGTGGGGAGCGGGACGGAACAGGTTTTGCCCTTACACAAGACCTGTCTAGGTTCCTAACACCATTTCTCGAGTGTCACACTGGGTCACCTGCCACATAGAAAGGAAAATTTATTTTCCCGTTCCCTAAAGTGGAGAATTTAAGAAGCCTATAGGAGGCTCAGCTAGTCGCCTCACTCTGCAGAAGGGGAAACTGAGGCCATGTGTGAGTGCAGACTCTCCCCCCGCCCCGTTGTCCGGTATGCCTGGGGGAGACCCCTCTCCATCCCTCAACGATGCCCCTTCTCCCCAGCCGCCCCCCCCCCCGGTGGACTCCAGGCTCAAATCTTTCCCTGCCTCTGTGCTCCAGGGGCACCTAGTTTGAGAGACAGCCACTCCAGCTCCACTGGCCCCTGTGTGCAGAGAAGCGATCGATCGGGCGACGGAGCCGGCTATTGTCCCCACGGCTGGGGCAGCCGCAGCCCCCTCCCCCTGCGGCCGGGGAAAGACACCCCCCTCCTGGTGAGGCCCATCATGGGACAGTGGCAGGGGCTCTCCTGCACCCCACAGGCACCCAGGAGAAGGGGGCCTGGCCAGGCCCCCTCGCTGGGGGCAGGTGTGGACCCAGCTGTTGTCAGCTGGGATGGGGGGAGGGAGCATGGTCCCCAGGGGGCCGGGGGCTGAGAGGCAGAGAGAGAGAGAGAGAGAGAGACACGGAGAGAGCTACGGAGAGTAGGAGAAAGAATGAGGAACAGGAGCAGAACCAGAGCAAGCGAAAAATAAATAGACACCAGTCTGTCCCGACAGACAGAGGCAGAAATGAGGGAAACACAAAACGGAAAAGCCAGGCCGCCAGGAGTGCGCGCACCCGGGCCAGAAGCAACCGCGCAGGGCGGGATGCCGGCCGGGGTGTGAAGGCCTCCGGGCCGCGCGGGCGAGGGTCCCCCGGGCCGCCCCTCCCCCGCCCGTTCTCGGGTGACCTTTGCCAGCGGCCGGAGAGGGGGAGGGGGCTATCGATCGCTGAGGCCGAGCTACAAAGAAGCGCGCGCTGGGGCCGAGGGCTGAGCGCGGGCCCGGCGCTGGCCGCCTCGTTGCGGGCGCCGGGTGCACGGTCCCGGCTCTCTGCCCAGAGCCGGGAGCGCAGCCGCGGGCTTTTCGGGAGGAGAGGAGCGGCTCCCTGAGAGGACAGCAGCGGCGCGTCTGGGGCACAGCACCTCCCCCCGTCCCCCCCCCCCAACACACACACAATGAGCGACCTTGCAGGTTGCTTCGAGGATCCTCCCCACAGTGTGAAAGGAGCCAGGGACCCCTCCCCGTTCCCAGAGGGGCCGGGCGGGCTGCTAAGGGGAGTGGGGGGCGGGTGGGGAAGGCGCCACAATCCCTTTCTCCCTTTCGGCCACAGTACAGACGGGCAGGGGCACAGATCACACTCCAGCCTCCTGCCAGGGAGTCCTGAGCCAGCCGGCGGGGCGCACGGCCCCGGCCTGAGAAGGGGCTGGGGTGCCCCGCGGCCGCCCTGCTTGGTGCTGGGGAGCCCCGAGCCGTAGCCCCGGGGTCAGGCGGTGTGCGCCGCGCTCCTACCTGCTAGGCGCAGCGCCGACATGCGCTGGAACTCGGGTTCCTGCAGCCACTTCCACATCCTGCGGAAGGTCTCCCGGCCCGACTTGAGCTTGCTCCACGGCTTGGGGTTGCGCAGCAGGTCGGAGAGCGTGCCCTGGGAGCGGCACAGGATGCGCTGCGCGAAAATGGCCTGCGGGATGCTGTAGCGCTTCAGCTCGGCAGTGATGCGCTGCGCCACCTCCTTGGTGTTGATCTCCTCGGCCGCCGCGCCCGCCCCGGGGCCGCCGCCGCCGCCGCCCGCGCCCGGGCC